ACCACCTCTGGCCAGCAGGGTTTGGGGAGGGGAGCCATCCTGGGAGCCAGCCAACTGGAGGAAGAGGCGGGGCGGGGGGGGGGGGGCTTGCTGAGAACGTGATATTTCCAGCCGCTTAATCCTCTCCGCTGCCTTCGCTTGGCTTGGTTGCTGGAACAGGGCTCAGTTGCTACTCAACAGAGAGACACACCAGGAAAACAGTGGGAACGCGGACCTCCAACCTCCTTCAGCCTCAGAGACGGTTCTTGCAGGAACCTACGGGGGCCAAAATGGCAAAGTCAGCCTCGGCATTCCAAGGGGGAGGGTCCTTGAAGGTGAAGGAAGGGAAAAGACAATGGAGAGGGAATGTCAAGAGGAAGAAAAGCATCACTCCGCTATTTCAAAGAAGCAAAACCATCGCTCTGACTCCCCGTCCCAAACTTTGCCTTGTGGCATCCTTGGTGCACTCTGGGCTTGGTAGTTTCCTGGCAGACGTTTCATAACCCAACTGGATAACGTCATCAGTGTTAGAAGGAGATGGGGTTTGCTCTCTGCTTGGATGCTAGTGGCCTCCCTGACAGTATTGGTTGGAGGGTGATTCCTTGATTTGATTACTGATTGTTTATCTGCGTTGATGCCTCCTCTATTGGGGTCTTGTTTATGGCTTTAAGTTTCAAGCAGCAAACAGTAAACATATCCAGGGATTATCAAGTCAGATCAGCAATCAAACAGCCAAATTAAGGAACTACCAAGAAGAAAATAACACTGACAGCCAAGTGACTGTAGATAAAAAGAGAGCAAACCCCACTCCCTTCTAGCACTGATGATGTTACCTAGTTGGGTTATGAAATGCCTACAAGAAAACAACCAAGCTCAGTGAGCATTAAGGACCCCCCCCAACAGTCCTCCTCTTCCTCCTTCCCCTCCCCTCCACCAATCCCATTCCCTTCAAGCATTGATTATGTAACCTAGTTGGATGATGAAACGTCTGCAAGAAAACAACCAAGCTCAGAGATCATCAAGGACCCCATAGTCATCCTCCTCCTCTTGCTCTTCCTCCGCCTCTTCCTCCTTCCCCTCCCCTCCCCTCCACAAATCCCATTCCCTTCTCGCACTGATGATGTTACCTAGAAAGAAAACAACCAAGCTCAAAGAGCACCAAGGGCCCCTCATTGCAACCCTGAGCTACAAATATACCCTCTTCTATTAAAATTTTGCTTCCCCCCCCCCCCCACAAAGCTATTTAGGGCACACCTTCCGCCTGCAAATTGGAGGAAGGAATCCCTGGTGCTGATCTGGAACAATTGTAGCCCTAAATGTGTGGAAATGGGATGGGAAGCTCTTGGGGAGCCACAAAAGAGCCCCCTCCCCCCGTGTCCCAATTCCTCCTGCACTTTGCACCACGGGAAACCCTGTGACGGATCGGGGCCAGGCCCAGAAGGAATGGGCAGGAGGGAAGGAGGCACATTGGCGCCACCTACAGGTTTCCAGCCGCTCCTCCAGGAAAGAGATCTGCTCGCTGAGTGAATCTATTCGGTCCAGTTGCTGGATCAGGTGGACCACCAGGCTGATGGGTTCTGCTGTCCCAGGGCCCTCTCCGGCACCAGGCAGATCCAGTTTGAGAAATGGTGCCAAAACGAGCTGGAACTTCTGTTGAGAAAGGGAGAAGTGTTTTAAGACAGAAAATCCTTAAAGTGGATAGAGAAAGAAAACCAGAGACTTTTCTTTCAGGTTTAATGGAACAAAACTGGGGGTGGGTGGGTGGGGGATTTAGAACTCTGATGTTATATACGTTGACTACTCTACGCCCATAAATGGAAGGTCCCCTCAATTCCCACCATGGATGAATGGCTGCAAAAGCTGATGGAGTTGGCTAAATTGACTGCTTTGATGAAAGGGAAAACAATACAAATATTTTTATTTCTACTTGGAAACCACTTCTGGACTTTGTGCTTGAAGTGGAAAAAAGCCGAAACTTTGATTTTTAGGGTTTACCGATGAGTTAGATTTGCTGTGCTAGAAATGGGCTAGTTTCAATTATTACAAAAAAGTAAAAAGTTGAGGGTAGATCTGAATGCCTTATTTTCCTGCACCAAAGGAGTTGGAAGTCAATGCCTTTTTTTTTACTTCTCCCCTTGCTTCCCCCCACTCTCCACTTCCCTTTTTCCTTTCCTCGTCTCCCCAATATTTGCCTTTGTATTCTTTCTGTATGTAATATTATAAAACTATGTAAACACGAGAACGGGAGAAGCGTGACTCTAGACAGGACTAAGGAGAGTCAGCTTGGAAAGGAGACCACTAGGGCAGTGTTTCTCAACCTTGGCAACTTGAAGATGTCTGGACTTCAACTCCCAGAATTCCCCAGCCAGCATTCGCTGGCTGGGGAATTCTGGNGAACGACTGGCACATATGTGCAAGGGGAACCTTTACCTTTACCTTTTATGTTGTGCATTTAGTGCTATATTCACTCTGATTGTATGGGTTAGAATTCAGCACTGCAAGCTAACTGCCCATTGTTTGGAGTTCGACCCTAAGCAGCTGAAGGTGGATCAGCCTTCCGTCCTTATGAGATTGGTAAAACGAGGACCCAGATTGTTGGGGGCAGTAGGCTGACTCTGCAAACTACTTAGAGAGTACAGTAAAGCAATATGAAGTGGTATATGTATATCTAAGTGCTATTGCTTCCTTCCTTCCTTCCCTCCATCCCTTCCCCCCCCCCCTTTCTCCAGCAGTGGCACAGTGGTTAGAATGCAGTATTGCAGGCTAATTTTGCCCACTGCCAGCAGTTCGATCCTGACCAGCTCAAGGTCAATTCAGCCTTCCATCCTGATATTATGCATTTAGTGCTATATTCACTCTGATTGTATGGGTTAGAATGCAGCACTGCAAGCTAACTCTGCCCACTGTTTGGAGTTCGACCCTGAGTGGCTCAAGGTGGATCAGCCTTCCGTCCTTATGAGGTCAGGCAAACGAGGACGCAGATTGTTGGGGGTGACATGCTGACTCTCTAAACCGCTTAGAGAAGGCTGGAAAGCATTGTGAAGCAGTATAAAAATCGAAGTGCTACTGCTGTAACTCAAGGTGGCAAACACACATTGTACACCCTCGTCCTATTTCTTCTACAACAAGGCTGTGAGGTGGGTTGGGCTGAGATAAACAGACTGGCCCAAATTCTCCTAACCAGCTTTTGTGCCTAAGATGGAACTAGAACCCTCAACCTCCTGGTTTCTAGGCCCAGCACCATCACCATTTCCCCAAACTGGCTCGGTACTGTTTTTTCCTTACCAGGAGGGTGTCTAGATAATCTTTATGGAAAATCCAGCCCAGTCTGGAATGATGCCCCCCCCAAGCTTTATTATTGGCCTTTCCAAGACCCTCAGAACAACGGACCCCCCCCCACTTCAAGTTCACTTAAAAGGCATTTCCCCCAAGTGGCAATTGACCCAGCAAGCCCTATTTAGCCCCTTGCCAGTTTTTGAGACTGAAAGTTTCACTCCCAGACCCTCCAGCACTGACATCGCAGGACAGTTCAACGAATGAGACCATTTAAAGTTTCCCCCATTGTAATGAGATTAAAAGTCCTACTTCTTTAGGTTGTGTTAGCCAAGAACAGATTTATTGGAAAGCCGGGGGCAGGAACGCCGCAGCGCTATTTCTATGATAACAATTCAAACTTTTGCAGACTTCAGCAAACCCCGAATGTCCTTTTATTCTCGTTGTTTCCTTCCTTATCAGTGGTTCAGCCTGGTTCCCAGCATTCCCAATGGCTTCCTTTTGCTCCCACCCAACCTCGTCACAATCATGTTTTGACTGAGATAGGAGAAACTGGAGGTCAACCCTTCCGAAGATCCATTAATTCCCTGAAAGAGGTTACATGCAGGTTACAATAGTTTTTCCGAATACAAAGTGGCTGTAGCTCAAGGGTGTCAAACTCGATTTCGTTGGGGGCCGCATTAGGGTTGTGTTTGATCTCCAAGGGCCGGGGGTGCATGTGTGTGTGGCCCAGGGTTAGGCATGGCCATGGTGGGCCTCCCGGGCCTATGGCCCGTTTTCGGCCGGCAGAGTGCTGCAGGAGGCTGAAAATGGGCTGGGGGGGCTGCCTCCCCCCCAGCCCATTTTGGCTAGCAGAGGCACCATGGGCCTATCCTTTGATATGTCCAGGCCACCTCTGCAGGCCAGATTTAAGCAACCCGCGGGACCTGCGTTTGACACCCCTGCTCTATCCCATTCACAAATCCATGCCCCATTGTGCTCTTCAATGTCCAATATTGAGGTGGCCCCACCGCCAGACGATAATGCGCAATATGTGCTGGGAAGCACCATGGAGATCAGCACGTGGCCAAAAACATACAGGCTTCAAACAAGAAAAAAGGAGAGAAAATATCTGCACTGTTACAAAAAAAAAAAGGACTCAGGATTATCTCCTTTCTTCGCTGCCTCTGGTACCTCGGCAAAGGCCGAGGTAATTTGATGCACTAGTGGCCCAAGTCCCTGTTTTAGGTGCTAGTACCTGGTCCATGCAATGCAGCCTTAGACTCCCGACACAAACGTAGGTTGTCTATGACAGCAGCTCTGCAGCAGTGAAGTACCATGAGGTCCCTTCCAGCTCATTCTATTCCATTCTATCCAATCAAGTGTATGTGAAGGGGTGGGCAAATTCAACAACTGTTGGATGAATGACACAAACAAAACTTTTTGAAAATGCATGAGGCAGAACATGGGTAGAGTTTGGGTCCATTTAAGACTGTTGGACTGATCACCTGTGTGAGTTATTTTAGAAGAGGAATTCTGACAGCTTTACTAGAATCAAGACTGTGTTTATAAAGGACATTGGAGGGGGGGGAGTATAAATTCCCATCAAGCTGCTAGGAAAAGTCAACACTTTGGAAGACAGCTTCAAGATTTAGCAGAATCTCGACAGGCCCTACCCAATAGAAACAGAGGTGGGTGTCACTTAATGTAACAACCGGTTCGCACGGGACTGAAAATGTGAGCCTGCGCACATGTGTGCAGCTTCAAAAACACAGTGATATAGGACAGGATGCTGCTGGGGCAGGTGGGCAGGTCGGGTTACTACCAATTCGCTCGAACCAGTCCAAACCGGCAGCAGCGCACCTCTGAATAAGATGCGATTCAACGGCGAGAGAACTCAGGTTCTGTACCTAGGCAGGAAAAACCAAATGTGCAGGTATAGAATAAGCAGTTCCTGGCGCAACAGCAGTAACAGTGAGAGGGATCGAGGAGCCTTAGTAGACCACCCCTTAAATAGGAACCAGGCATCTGCTGCAACAGTCAGGAAAGCCAACGCAGACCTTGGCTGCATTCAACAAGATTCAAGACCACAGAAAGTGAGAGTACCACTTTACACTGAACTAGTGAGGCCACGCTTGGAATCCTGCATCCAGTTCTGGTCATCATGAGACCAAAAAAGGATCTGAGACCCTAGGAAGAGCGCAGAGAAGAGCTACTAAGACCATTAGGGTTCTGGTGGCTAAATCATAAGATGGACAGTTGAGGGAGTTAGGGTTGTCTAGAGCAGAGGTGTCAAACTCAAGGCCCGGGGGATGGATCTGGCCCATGGGGTGCTTAAATGTGACCGGCAGTGCCTCTGCCAGAGAAAATGGAGCTCGGGAGAGTCGCACACGGTCCTCCCAGGGGTCTGTTTTCACTGGCAGAGGGTTGCAGGAGGCTGTCGCAGCCCAAAATGGAGCTCGCGAGCCCGTTTTCGCTGGCAGAGTGCTCCGGCTACCACACGAGTGACTTTGACCCAGCCATGCTCCCCCTGACCACACCCATCTCCCAAGGCCCAACACAAGCATGCCAGAAACCCAGAAGACAAATGGGCAAGGCTGCCCAGGCCAGGCGACATGGCTCCACATGCCCAAAGAGGCACAGGTTTGCCATCACGGGTATAGGGTCTCCTGCTTGAGCAGGGGGTTGAACTAGAAGACGTCCAAGGTCCCTCCCAGCCCTAGGATTCTATTTCTTTCTTGGAAAGGGAGGACATGGGAAACACAGTGGTAGTTTTCCTACAATGGGAAAGTGAAGCAAGCAGGACATTAATGTGCATTTACATGTGGGAGGGTTGGTTTAGCGCCACCCCCTCCCCACAGAATTAACCCTGCCTTGCCAAGATATTTTGGGTGGCAGCCTGGAAAAGAGCAGCTTCTGAGCCTGGCCAACCCCCCCCCCTCTTTTTTTCTGAATTGCTGCTCTTCTACTTCGTGGGGAAGAGGCGAGACCTGCCCACCTCACCCAAATCTGTCTGCTCAGCAAGCAAGATGCTTCCTGTTTCCCAGGGATGTTTTGCTAGGAGGCCGCCTGTCTCCCTTCCACCACCTCTGGCCAGCAGGGTTTGGGGAGGTGAGCCATCCTGGGAGCCAGCCAACTGGAGGAAGAGGCGGGGCGGGGGGGGGTAGGCTTGCGGAGAACGTGATATTTCCAGCCGCTTAATCCTCTCCGCTGCCTTCGCTTGGCTTGGTTGCTGGAACAGC